CCCAGGTGTACACAGCCACAAGGAATGATGCTCCCAGAGGGGCCCATTCTCCATGCCAGTCACAGCTGCATCTCCTGGTGTCCAAATCAGGTTGGCGGCAGCACCGTGAGCACCACCAGGATGTTGGAAATGGAAACAAGCTACAGCACCAACCACCACACATCCCCCATGTATCCCAAAGCAATGAGCCACAGTTCTGGTACATATGGGGGGCTGGAGGGGAGGGAAGAGCCGCCACTGGTCAACCTTCTCCCAACAGCTGGATGCTGCGTACCCAGTGTTTCACTCTAGAGGTCCCTCTCCTTTCTGCTGGCCACATGCAAAGGCTTAATTTCTAACCAGACTCCAAAAGAACAGCAGAAGTGCTACAGCCAGCCCAGCTGCAGGCTGACGGGATCCTGTAGGGTGACAAAAAGGGATCATCACACGCAGATCTGCCCCTTAAGGCCAGCGCAGCAGAAGCAGGCCCTGGAAGAGCAGTTGGAGTTGCCACGTCTACGCTCAACAAACACATTGTTGGCAAGAGCCACAGAGCTGACCCTGGTCTCAAAGCAGCTCCCACAGCGCCAAAGACTGCAGATACCACTTCTGGTGGTCACATAGGTGGGAGAACACTGGGATCGTGGGAGGCAAAGGAGCAGGAAGGGAGACCTTGTAGCACTTATAAGTTTTCCCAAAACAAGCTGGCTCTGAAAGCACATCTAAGGATGCATGGGAAACAGACTGCTGCCCTCCCTGCTCACAGGAGAGCTTGCCTGAGAGTTCACTCAACCCTCTAAGTCTTGAATCAGCTTTTGTTAAACACCTGCTAGGATAGGATCACGGAGAAGCAAGAGGAATCATCTGGAACAAGATGGTTCCAAGAGGAACAAGAGGATCCAAGAGGAACAAGAGGATCCAAGAGGAACAAGAGGATCCAAGAGGAACAAGATTTAGCTCCCCTGGCACAGGAGAGATGTCCACAAACTGCATCCAGCAGAAGCCACTAAAATGGTCAGAGGCTGGAGTAGAAGGTGTACGAGGTGGATACACCTCCCAGAAACACTTAGGTCTCCAACTCCCAAATCGATCCTTCGTGCCACTCTGAAGTTCTCCCATGTTACTGTTGATGTGATTGCTTTCACTCACTGCTTGTGGGGGCAAAATGAACCCTTGCCCACAGGGAGAAAAGCCTGGTGAAGAGAGGGTCCATGAAGGTCTCTCTGCAGAACTACTGAAGGACACTTTAACCAAGGCTCTAGGCCTGGAGTTCCCAAAATATTGTTCCCAAAAGGCCACTTAACAGGCAGGGCACTGGGCTCAAAACCAAAGCCCATGATGGGCAGGGCTGCAGTTCACCACCCTTGAAAGCAGGTTTCCACCAGGTCCCTGTGAAATGTTATCCTTCTGAGAGGTCCTTGCTGCTACGCCGAGTTCGAGAAAGGCAGGTGGAATGGCTGGTGTCCAGAGCAGCAGAGGGTGCCTCCCACTGTGTAGATTACAACTCTTTGGTGGTGACACTGGGCCGATCAGTTGTGAGCTGAGATGCTCTGAGGGTGCAGAGAGCTGAGACTGTGCGAGTGTGCAGAGAGGGCAGAGCTGGAAGAGGTTTAGTTGTTACAGCTGCAGCATTTCACATGTCCTGGGAAGGACGTCACAGCTAGAAAGCCTCTCGTAGGGCTGCATGGTGAGAAATGTTGCCTGTGAGCAGTGTCTCGCTGTGGTTTGGAAACCCCTCTTCTAGGATCTGAAGTCAGCCCAGAGAGAGCAATCTATGTGTCCGCCTCATCTGATGGAAGTCCTGTATCCAGTGCCCTCAGCGTTGTAACACAGGGCCATAGTCAAGACCTTGTCACCCTCACCAAGAAATGAGGATCCAGCAGTTTCTACTACGGGCTACACAATCATTTACACGGCTTTACTGAAGAACTCCTGGGAGAAGTGACACTGTGAAGGACTGTCCAGATGAAGCAGAGTCTCAGTTGGGGTGTTCTTAGCTCATCTGTTTCTGAGCAAAGCACGAGGCACTTGGAATAACAAATCCCAAAGTAATTTTTAAACTGCATGAAGCCTCCAGTTAGGTGTACAACCACATTCAAAGTTAAGGACCTCAGTTCAATTTAATTCTGTTTTTTTTTTAAAACAACCACAATTCAAACCAAGTCTCAGCTGACAGGAACCATCAAGAGCAGCCAGAGACATTCAAAGACCAAGAAGCTTTGAAAAATAACCTGGGAAAACCAAGTCAGAAATCCCATCTAAGAATCAGTGGTAGGTTGAAGTCTTACCTCCACCACACACCGCAAACACATTTCTCTTCCCCACACTGAGTCATGACCACATTAGTCGGAATCTGAGCACAACACGCAGAAACCACTACTGAAACAGCAAGGGCACTTGAAATAAAAAACCCCAAGCAACAGGTATGGTACATCTAGGTCACAGCAGAAAAGCATCTGCACTCCCCAAAACCAGAGTCAGGACACCAGGTACAAGAGTTGGCAAGAAGCCGGCAGCAGCGATGTGTGTTGGTTACAGCTGTGAGGCCAGTTAGGAACTCGGCCGAGTGGAAAGGCAAAAACCAACTCAAACTAGCACTATTGCTTTGACTGCAAGAAGTGGAAAGCATCACTGCTGTCTAGTCTACAGGCATCTACTGCCACTGTGTGATGCATATCGTCAGTGGCAGGAAGAGTGACTCAGCCCTGCCCCATGCAATTTATCATCATTAAGAGTCTGACCTTTCAGCACTAACCGTGACACAACAGCAAGATGGTTTCTACCACAGCAGGGGTCTCCATAAGAAGCCAGAGAGACAACATGCATTTCTTGGCACCAGAATAACCACATATCTAGGAGCATCTCTTGGGGTTTTTTTGTAGCAAAAGGAAAACTAAAACAACAAAAAAACGCTCTAGGATAGTCAGCACAGCTTTGCTGAGAGACCAAGTGGGGCATTAATATGACACATGACAAAGAGACTTGGCTTAAGGGAACCACAAAGAGAAGGAACAAAGAAAACTCAGAAAGAGATGAAGATGGTGTTGCTACAAAGATGAGAGAGAGGCCCGACGGCAGCCAGACAGCAGCAAGTTAAATGGTGACCAACAGCAGAGGAAGTCGCCAAATGTGAAAGGCAAAGCCAGGTACCAGAGTATTTCCAACCCAAATACCCACAATCAGCCCTAAGCCTTAGCATCTAAGAAATAGAGAGCCTGCAGAAAAATGTCTCACCAGGCCAAGTTCACATGCTGACTCCAGTTCAGCAACAGCACTGGGGCACAATGGGTTAGGCTGGGCAGCCTGGCAGGTCCAGCGTCAGAGGCTCCAGAAAAGAAACCTGCCCACCGAGTTGAAGTGTCTCTGCAACTGCAGCAAGGTAAAGGACTGCAGGCTGCAGTAATATCCACCACTGGGACAACAAGCAGAGTTGAAAATCAACAGATGAGCCTTCAGGCACACGAGTTGTTCCCCAGAATTGAAACGGAAGCCCCAGATTTGCAAGTTAAATTCTTCTGCTTAGTGCAGTCCTCTGCTCCTATCTGCCTAGAAGAATGGCTTCGGTATGCAAAGCTCCCTCTGCTTTTTTCAACTATATGAGTTCATCTAATAAAAATATCTCCTGCATCTCTAAACCTCATGTTGCCACCATGGCTCTCACACTGCTTCAAACCCTTCAAGAAAACGTTAGCAATAGGCATTCCCAACCACCTCCAACACCATCAGCACATTCACTGCTGTTGTCGTCTTCCGCACTGCAGGGGACACCTGCGCCCCTGCTCTGCCTTGATTTCAGACCTCATGTTCCAGCTGCAAATCAAGCTGGCAAGTGCAGCAAATCCATAAAGCTCTGGGCTAGTGCACAGAGGTCACACACCACCTTCCTTTCTTCAGTGGCACACAAACTCTCTTGTTGCTTCAAGCCCTGGCACAGGCTAACCTCCATTTTAAGGGCAAACTTCACAATCTGTTCATCTTTCGTTGACCCTTCCTAAAAAAAAAACATATTCAGGAACAGCAGTAAAATACATGTTGGGTCTGAGTTCCCCTGGGCCCTCCTCAGAGCTACTGACCTAAAATTCATTTGGTGCAGAATCACAACTCCTCCTGTGCAGCCAGGCTGAACCTGAAGTCTCTTAACAGTACACCAGAGGATGCAAAGCATGCGGTCCTGCTACACAGCCTCACCAGTTAAAAGCACACGCTCAGAAACACTTCCAGGCAGATGGTTTGAATGCTTAGTAGTACTTGAGTCCCTGAGCCTGATACGTACTGCAGCAGGGACATATTAGTCCATCTCACTTGGAGGTTACTCACCCACAGATCCTTGCTGGTCGCTTTTGGGCCTGAAACTAAAATAATTTTCCTAGCAATCTTTAAAGAAACATTGCTGCTCCCTTCTGAACGGCTCAGATCTTACAAAGCTAGTACTGAGCCTAACCCGCAACCTGATCTTGGCATATGCCGCCAGCAAGGGTGAGCATAGTTCAGCCTAGTGTTCTCAAGATGCTTCCAAAATTTAGAAATGCTCATTTACATCGGTGTTACGTGGGGGGGGTCACTCAATACTATTATTACTGAGTCTTAGTGAGAGAGCCCTCCTATATGGAGACAAGGGAGATCTGTGATTTAACAAAAAAACTGAGAGCCCAACTGGGCAGCGCACGCAGATGTTTCTTGCAGGTTAACATGACCTGCTTCTACCAATACAGTGGTAGATGACTTCATATCCGTCAGTCCTGTCCCTCTAGCTGCCATGAGAGCTGGATTTACCTACTTCTTAGGGCTGTGAGATGCTTCAGCCACTAACATAGGCAATGTCAGGTCTTCTACTCTTCCCACTCACAAAGACAAGCATTTGAGAGCCTTGTGCTCTTAAGAGAGGCATGCACCATGAAGGACCAAGCTCCTCCAAATCCCCAAATGCATGACAGGACCTAACTCAGAAGGTCTCCTGCAGGGTTGTATGATGTGTATGGCTGGGACTGAGTCTGTGGGCAATAAATACATCAATGACTTTGTGGAGGTGGAAGAGACCTTTTTAATAAACAGGATTCAAATAAAATTAAAAAAAAATCCCTCTCAACTGCCACTGCAAGAAGAGTTCAGACAACTAGCACAGAAGATGATGCTGTATGTGCACGATGGAGGGAGAAGGGAAGAAAAGAACAAGCTGTCACCAACTTGATGAGCTTCCTCAGTAAATCAGCAGAAACCAGCTCAGCAAAACTCTCCAGATAAAATATTGGTGGATCCATGAGAAACAACTCAAATAAAAACAAAGAGAAATCCCTACATCAGAAGGAGCTACATTAGAACAACCAGTGAAATACTGAGTGCTGCTGGAGCCACAGCAACGGCAGGGAGACAGGTAAGATCTGCCAGTCGTTCCTGGGGTCAGGAGTAGCCACACAGTGAGGAACTCACTCAATCCTTTCACAGGCAGTGTGTGTGTGTATGCTAGAGGGGGTGTTGGTAGCAGGCAAGTCAGGCTATCGAACGAGGTGGTGGTGTAGAGTGGCAGCAACGGAGGGTGAAGGGCAGCACTCCACGATGTCAGCTCCATCTTGCTCTGGTGGCTAGTGCAAATAGTCGTCTACTCTGGCAAAGGAGCAGGAGCCCAAGCCCACGCGAGCCATGAGCCGCAAACACTCCGAGGCCTGGCCCAGGGCAAGCATCAGTGGGGGCTGCTTTGGCAGGTTCTGAGATTCTGTGGGGGCAAAAAAAGAAATCTGTTTAGAAGAGGTGTCCTGGCTGTGTGCCGGCTCACCTGTACTCGGGTCCCCCTTAGTCCCACCTGGGCACCAAGCCCAGCATCCTGGCAGAAGGCACCGGCTCTGGAAGGAAGCTACTCCTGTGTACCGCTGGCTCTGCACCACTGCTCCTCTCCACACCCCACCACCCATGGCATGTCCCATGTGGGGCCACAGCTCAACAAGGCCTTTGAGAAAGTGCTGCTGTGGTGGCCAGAGCAATAAAAAGTCAGTGGAGCTCCTGCTGTCTCAGTGTCTTGTCAGAAAACCCTCAAACCATGAGAGATCAAAGCACAGAAGAATAAGGAAAGGCAGGAGAAACTGGCACCAAGTGAGAGGCAAGCTCTCCATTTCTCCCACTTGTGCGAGTCTACACAGTAATCCCAGCCCTAGACAAACTCACTCACTGGTCCCTGCTTCTTTTCAACTTCATGTTTGCTAGGTATGCAAAAGGGAATCCTCAGCTGAGCTAGACAAAGTGTTTTGCAACCTGTGTGATGAAGCATGCCCAGACACCATCTTTCACATCTCCCTGGTGACACCCCTCAGCAACTTGTCCGTGCTCCTCAAGCACTGGACACACAATGGCTAGAACTGAGCCACCCTGAAGGACACCTGCCCATGCTGACTGTCAGGGGAAGGGACTCTCCTTCCCAAACCATGTAACTTCTGTTCCTTTACTCAGACAGAAGAGGAGTCCTTACGGGTTTGTCCATCAAGCTGTTCTTTCCCCAGAAGACAATTTCTAAATCTCCTTCTGGCACACACAATGTGAGGTTCACAGACCCACTAGGAAATAAGTCTGGGCACAGTGAGCTAGACTGTGTACAGGAGCCAAGCATGGGTTTCCCAGACAGAGAAGCTGTCCAGTGGGCAGTGTTTGGTTGGCTGTGGATGGACTGAGCTAACTCCGACGGGGGAGTGTCCTGTGAAGCGACCTGAGCAATGACAGAGCACGTGCATGGTCTCGCAACAGGATCAAGGGCCCTGCCTAGAATGAATCAATCCCTTTCTTGCAGATTGGTGTCACGCCATAACCTCATTATCACTATACTCATTCTCCCCCCATGGGATTTTCTGTAGCTGAAGATGCCAGGAGGGTCAGCAACAACATGGCAGCTCATTGATTGCAAGCACAAGACTTCCATCAGGGAAAGCCAGTGCATTTACTACATCAGGTTCACGACAGGAGAGTAGATGACAACAAGCTGTTGGCCAAGCAACGTGCTTGTCTAAGTAAAATGGAAGAGCAGGCATAAACATCCACCTCTGAGGACACAGAGGAGGGCAAAAGACCTCATACCTGAATCCAACCATGATCGATCCTGCTGACACAAAGAGCAAAGCTCATTAGAAAAAGGGGACCTGTCTTACTAGTTGAAGAAAACCAACCTATAACCACATCTCTGCACAGCGTGGGGTCCTCTCAGCACAGTTAAGACCA